CACCGTCAGAGAAGACGAATAGATCCAAAGGGGGTTGAGATGCTTGCCAACTCATGAATTCCTTCCGGCCATTTTTTCTGCCTATAGCCCCGATATTTTGTAGAAGTAACTCTCGACTGGTATTCCATGGGGGTGGTACTGTATGAGTTGATAGTTCGGGAGATGTTCTTTGTCGGATCCACAACATTCGGGAGGAAGTCCAGCGCCGCCGTAAAGGGTGACGTGGGTCTGCTGACGCGACTCGCACTGTGAGGCGGTCGTGTATCCGTTCTAGCCAGGAGCATGCCGTCCCCCATCCGGTCTCTCGAAGAAGGGCAGGAGTCGGAGTCGTTCGGTAGACAGGAAGGACGGCTCTAGCAGCATCATTAATTCTGCACTGAACACGCCTTATTATGTCCTGTGGGGTACTTTTGGAATACCATGTCTCGGCTCCAAAGAAGAGGATAGCGAAAGCTGTTCCTTGAATAGCTTGTCTAAGAAGGGGAGGGCTGATACCGCGGGTGGTGCACAAGAGCCGTCTAAGATTGCTTGTGATAGCTAGGGACTTTCTACAGGTCTCACTAACATTGTCGGTAAAAGGATTATACTTGGGCGTTATGAATTGTTCTATGTAATTGCGGTGTTAAGGATGTCGTTAGGACTTTGGCAGGGATCTGATTTAGCTCATTAGCGAGGCGCTTGGAGTAGAGGAAGAAAGGGCAGAGGGAGTGGAAAAGGAGAGACAACGATTGATATATTTCGAGATACCAGTTGATTGACATTATTCACCGACTTCGTGACGGACAGCTGACTTCGTGACGGCACCCAATTTGTATTACCTCGTGTTTTACCAACAAACATGATATCGGAAGCGTAGACCACGGTCGAAGTATACTCCGAGCCAGCGGGTGAAATGGATTGACTTGGATATGTACTTCTGTAAGGATTAGTCAATGTATCACGTGGCTCGGCTCGGGCACCAAGCTCCAATTTGTAATTTAGATATTAGTGCTCGAGGAAAGAGAAGAGGGGAGAATAGATAGAATGATACCACTTGTTTATAGCACTTTTGAGGCATTGAACCAAGTGAACCCCGTTGTACCAACAGTCAATAACCTACTAGACTGGGCTCGAAGTAATGCCGTCGCTTTCGATACAGACAAGTCCGAAGTCGTACAATTCCCCGGACGATACCGCGAAACATCGGTTGGAATTTATGTCAACGAAAGCCTCATAGAACCGTCGCAAAATATCCGCTGGCTTGGTGTGTACCTCGATCCTCGACTAAACTTCAAACACCACGTCACAACCTGGTGTGGCAAAGCGTTGAAAATTGCACAGCACATGCGTCGCTTCAATACAGCCTACCGAGGAGCCGCTCCTGGGGCGTTGGTTAAAGCAATCGACACATGTATTGTCCCAATTGCAACATACGGAGCTAACGTCTAATGGCCTGGCCTTAGACGCCCAACAGTACATGGGTTGGTGACACCGCCCACTGCTGGCCTATGTAGTATGATTGATAAGGGTGTCTTAATGGGTCGTAGGTCAGCACTACCGATAATGAGGACAACCCCCAACGCCGTACTACATAGGGAAGGAGGAATACCAACCGGGAAAATCATTCTCGAAGGAAACCGACTTTGCTTATCTGCCAGAATGCAATCACTGGACGACCGCCATCCGCTGAGGATCCGTGCTGCAGTTTGCCCAAATGTCAGTACGCGGAAATATAAGAAGCATAATCGAAAATCTGCGCGTCCTGAAATTCAAATGTCACGGGCTCAGCGTGCTTATAGACAGCTACCAGAAGCAGAGGCCGCGGAACCTCTTGCCTCACCATTCTATCAATTGCGGCCGGGTTCGAAGGTTGGTTCGAGAAAAGACCAAGTAGAAGCCTGTAAACTTTGGATCACTAATGTGCCAAAGTCAGAAATCTGTGCGTACTCAGACGGTTCATCAGAAGGAAACGGACGCTCAGCTTGGGGGTTCGTCCTAAAGCTGGATGGGAAAACTTTTCAAAAAGGAAGTGGCATAAAGCACGGTGGAGAGGCTTTAGATGCAGAGATTATGGGGGCACAGGAAGCTCTTAAAGCAGCGTTGGGTCACCTAAGAGGGAAGGAGTACCTGGCGAAGGGAACGACGCAGTGCATTAATGTGTTGATGGATAGTCGACATGCGATAAATGCACTGAGCACGGGCAGGTCCTCGACCAGCCACGAGGAAGTACGAAAGTTTCGCGAATTATCTGGGCTAGCTCAGGTAAGAATAAAGTGGGTACCAGGCCACTCGGGACTACATGGAAATGAGGAAGCAGACGCAGCGGCCAAATCCGCCCTATGAACGCTTCCCAGCGTGGAAACTGAGCCAGCAACCACCACGACAGCATTTTTACACCAAAAATTGCATCGACAGCGACAGACTTTGCTCGACAGCTGGTGGAATGAAACTTGCCCGTCACGGTATCGTGAGCTAGATCTGCTCATGCGCCGTCGCAAACCACCAGAACTGGGGCTTTCCAGGCTACAGTTACGACATCTCATTGCAGCCCGTACGGGCCACGGCAATTTCGCGGCGTACCATCGTCGCTTCAACAATCCACACGCTATAACAGAGTGCATCTGTGGGGAGGAAACCAACCCTACCCATTTCATACATTTTCGACTCAACGCAAATATCACGCCTCGAATCAGAGGGTCATTGTCACACAATGCCTTCCTACACAAGCTACTCGGGCCTAAGTGCTTCGAGAGCTTCAAACAATTTGCGCAGGATATCAATTGTTTTGGGTATTCTCCTGTGCATCCATCTCCTACTCTCAGTGGAGATCGAATATAACTCGTCAGGAAACTAATCCTGACAAAATGGGAATCGAGGCGAGGAGTATTGCTTCCCATTCTAATTTCTTTGCAATTTATCTTTTTCTTTTGTCAGTTTTGGGAAAAGGGGTTCGCGACGGCGCATATTTTTAACTGACTGCTGGTTTTGTGGTGGTTCATACGGTGGAATCAAGTTGGGTATGTCTTAGATGTAGTTCTGGCTGTGAACATCGGTCCTGTACTCATAGTGGATTTGGAGCTTTAGCTTAGGACTTTAATAAAACAACAAGAACTCAGGCACCACTAACCAATAGCAGGATACAGGCTGTATATGCTACCTGCCAACCCATCTCTTGCTCTTAGCAGAGATTGAGAAAATAGTGACTTAGAAGATGTAACGGGCGAGAGAACTAGTGTGAATCGCATTACTTGGATCTAGAATGGAGGAATCTTCTGGGTTTAGGGTTTGATTTGATTTTTTTGCAGTTAAGTGGCTCGGGCTGTACTGAACAGGTATGGAGTTGGATTAGGATACCTGCGGCAGTCTGGCGTTATGGAAGGACTGATGACATCTTTATCAATACCCGCTTAATTCCAAACTCATTGTATATGTAACTTGTAGGCAGAGCTTTGCCCTTTAGCTTTATCACCTTTTAAACCTTGATTTCTGGCTTGCCAGAATTAGCGTGTTGTAAAATTTACTCTTTGGTTTTTGATTTAATCTGCTGAAATTTTGGTAGCGGTTCACGCGCTTGGGATGAGTGGGCTTTGGAAAAGAAGATAAGGTTCCCTGCCGGCCCCATCGGTCCTGTACCCACAGTAGGACAGAGAGCTTTTACTTTAGCTCAGCGCTTTAAAAAAACAAAAAAAGCTCACGTTGGAGGGCATTGCGCGCGCGTCACGAATTCAATTGCGAAAGCGCAGTCGACACTTTATAAATAGTCATGGCTAGATGACACAATGATATGTCATTTGGGCCGGTCTCTCAAGTAGAGTCTGCATACCGAATCCACTTGAGATGAGAGATCGCTCGTTCAGATCCGGCAATAGTCGACCACATTTGTCGCGATGCTTCTGTAAGGAATGACAAGGGCATGCTTGCATAGCCACAGGATTTGATATTTCCTTTTGGGGTCACTCACCGAGAAGATTCTACTGTTCTGCCCGGGCAAACATACCTCGTGGTGGTATATGCAGGTGACTTGATACATTGAGTGGCTCTAATGTGAGGAGTGTCATCCAAAATTCATACAAGCTACTGATCATGTGTCATGTCCAAAAAGCTAAAAATACGACATACTATTTGAAAGAGGGACCTGCTAAAGTGCTCAGCCCAGATGAAAAGTAAACATGGGCTATGATATTCTCTGGCACAAACATCTCGTCGCTTGTTGGCGGGAACTCAATCTCTGATGGAATTCTTCTCTCACCCGTATTATACCTTGTTCCCTGCCACCAAGTGGGCCAAAACCAGTTCAAGTACGGGGGATAGTTCGAGATGGACGTAAGGATACCTAGGAGAACACCAGACAAGTGCACTTGCAATTAAAAGGCAGCGCCCTAGCATACAGCAAGGAATGAGCTTCATTTCTAGAACTCATGGAATTAAGGTTTGGTTGTCAGGGACGTGTGTTGCATAAGTAGTGGAACATGTGATTGAGACCCTGTATGTTCTCGGCATGTTCCTATGGATTCTGAGTTATTCATAGTGTTTTAAGCCTGCTAGCCATGATACATGATCAGTGCTCTGTATGCGCTGAGGGTTTTTTTGATTCAAAGTGTTCGCAGGCGGTATTTTATTCGCACATACCAACACACGGGGTCATTTTTGATAATTAGCAGTCAACCTTCGTTCGTGTTTACCAACTACAGGGAAATCTCAAAATTATGGTTATTTAAGAATGCCAAGGTCGATCTATAGAAGAGTACCGCGATAATCGAGGTCAAGACGTGCTAGACTCGCACCAGCAGGAATATGTCAAGTGCAACAGTGCCCTTGAAGCTTAAGTAGGTGACCATTGAAAAAATTCTTACTATGTTAGTCATACAAAGGTGTTAACTAGATAGAGAATCGGCAACCCGGGCGAATACACAATAAAATGTAGCTCACCTAATCACACGCATCTACCGTGAGTAGGTATAGGGGGGACGAGTAGGCTCAGCGAATCCTGGAAGACTGAATTTATTATATGCTTTACTGTGCTATAAAGTAACTCCTGCGACATCATTAGATGATTTTAAAATTCTGGAATCATCCGATTCTCTTTGTATCCACTCGCGGCTGCCCATTTCACTAAGTCTGCTTAGTGCTCGTGCAAAAGCAAATTGCTCTTCGTCGCCACTAAAAATATTGCTATTTTTCACTGCCTTAGGACTCATTCCTAGATCGTCCATTAGATTCCTCATATCATCACTCAAATCTCTTCCTTCTTTTAGATTCTTGCTACACTTGCCCGTAATTAGACGGCTTTCAGCTGCCTCTTCTTTAGAGACGAATAGTCGATCGACATGAACAGCGCTTGTTAAAACTAATTTGCATCTGGCTTCATAAACAGCATCAATAAACGTTATGAAGCGCCGTGCTAGGTCCCGTTCTCTGTGCGACATCATTGGAATATTAGTCAGTACAAAGGCATCGTAGTGCTTTGTGAGCTCAATGTAGTCGGCAGCACTTTTAGGACGACCAATCAGGTCATCAAAGGTAAACATGGCGGCTTTACCGCTAACTTTGGGGACTACAATGTCACGACCCCAAACTGTTAGCACTTCAGATTTAGGGCTGTGAAGGCTAGTATCGCCTAGGTATTTGAACCATTTTTCAGCGTGAGCAGCAGCAGATGCACCTAGTGGTGAGTAATATACTCCAGAAGTTGGGCGAGGGAGTTTTCGATAGTCTATGGTAGAATCGAGATTGATGACGTCGAGGCGACCCTTAAGAAGTTGAATGCATGGTATAAAAGATTCGCGTTGAATTCCGTTTAGGTAAAGATCGTCGGGGTGACGGTTTGAAGTCGTGATCAGCACAACCCCAAATGACATTAAAGCTTCTATGAAGCTGCTAGAGAATTAGCGATGGAATTTTAATGGACAAGTGTTCCCAAGTACCGTCTCAAGATCATTGCGTCAGCTACGTCAGTACATTGGAACTCATCAAAGCATAGCACATTCGCCTTTACCGCGATATCGGCTGCGATTAGGGGAACACCGTCAATATCAGTTCCATGTTCTATCTTGAGGTTGTGGAGTCGTTTGTGAACGTCTTGCATGAAGTTATGGAAATGCACTCGAAGCTTTGAAGTCACATTTTTTGGCAGTGTTTCGTACAGTAAGTCCATCAGCATAGTCTTACCGCTCCCTACATCACCATAGAGATAAAGACCGCGGGGAACATTTTCCGGTATTTCTGAAGAGCCTGTTCTCCGTGCTGATGAGCCACCAAATATCCTTTCAAAAATAGACGAGCGCTTGACTTTTGTATTCGCTAATATGTCGTAGCGGGCAGGGATTGGGGGGGCGTTAAAGGAACGGAGATCTTGGTGTAAACGTTGAAGATTCCGGATGATATCTTGAGGCCGTTAGACGTTTGGCAACATGGTAATGCTAGAGAGGTCAACAAACCTCTTTGATGTTCATCGTTACATAGACGACCAGCTGCAATACGTGAGTCGTATTCGGCGATCGGACCACGATTCTCTAGAATAAAAACAAGCTAGTCATCAAAAAATGGAGGGGCTCGTGATACCAGGTCTATCCGTCGCGTAAGTTCTACTTTTTTTCGCTAGCTTTCTCAGACCGAGAGCTTCACGTCGGCATAGTAAGCCATAATCTGCACAAGTTCGGGGCGCGGTCGAGTTGGCCGAGTGAAAACCATCAGCGTTGGAGATTCGGTAATGGAAACAAATATGAAAAGTTCTTAACCCTCCTTTTTGGGTAAACGAATTTCTGGTTTGGGTAGAGCGCTTAATTTTCAAGCACTCCTTTGTAGCTGATGCCATGATTTGCTTTAGCGCGATTGTGACTGTCGAGAGGGTTGATGGTGCGAATCTCGTGTCTTTAATGCAAGTTGGATATAGTTCGACCAAAGACACTGCAGTATTGGCGTGCAGGCTTGGCGAATGCCAGCCAGCGTGACTCACTTCGATGTGAAGGAGCAATAAAAACTTGCTCAGGCGACCAGATTATTTTGGGACGAATAGACGCCGTCTGTGCGTCGCGGCTGTGAAAAGGGTCTGACCCGTTTTCCCTACGGAACCTATTCAATCCTTGAAATCCGCATGGACATGTCCAGCCCGAATCTCTGGGCTAGAATCATCGCCTAGAATGGGCAGGGCTGAACCCGGATCCCAGCTCATGGGGTTTCTTTCTCCATCACAAGGTCATGATAGTTTCAGAGGCAGTCTCAACCCTGTGGAAAGTACACTAGCGTATACGAAGGGATGAATGACTCTATGAGATGTAGCACTAAATCTCACCAATGTCTAGCTTTCACCCGGGAGTCTGCAGAGCCAAGGCTAAGTCACACGCCTTTCACATTTAAGCTGTGCCTTCATGTCATCAGGGCTTGTCATTCGTATTGATCTCTCAAGCAGATTATGGTAAGCGCGGTCACTAAACCCATTTGGGGCAGGAGACCGCGGGGGCTGTTTACTATCTATCCAATCTGCCCGCAAGCCGTGGAAGTTAACGCCTAAAGTTTCATATCATCTCATACCTCTCTTACAGCAGGAAGAAGGCTGAAACCCTGGCGTCCTCTACGGACCTGAGAGTGATAATCTACCCAGACCCAAGACTTAGCCACGAATGAGGGTGTATTGGAGAGTTTTGGTCAAGGCGGCGATCGGGAGGAGTGGTGTTGGCGAGATTTTTAGTCGAACATGCGACCCGCAGAGATTTCACGACCGCACACCCCCACGGATACAAACATCTATACCCCAAAGACGAACCCTAGATAGTGTAAATCCAATCTGATGTCCATATAAAATCAACCGACAACCTTCACCATCCCAAAATTTATCGGAAAATCTTTTCCATCCAATCTTATCTCGTGACCTTCTCCACAATTATTTCACCACCTATCGAAGCACTCCAAAATCCAAAAGTCATACTCGCAATCAATGACATACCTAGAAATTCATCCCATCGAATATATCGTGCGCTGTGAGGGTATGGTCCAAGTACCGGCCTTATATTCGGATTTACCTCTGCCAAGGGCACGTGAAACTAGACCTGCGACGAACCGCCACCGACGAGATACGTGCGATCGCCAGATACACGCTCATGCCGATATTTAATCCGCTGGAGGAAGCAAAGCGTGGCGCACAAATCTGGAAGATAGTTCTTTGGCATGGACGCGAGAGGGATCAGGACAAGTTCATAAGATGATGCAAAGCATGGATACATTCTCGACGGGCGTGAAATTTCGAATTTTGGCAAGAGTTTTACGAATTGAGCTTTGTGCGCGCCAAGATTTCGCTTGCGAGAGTGCAGCTGACACTATAAACACAAGCAAACGATGGAAGGTGTAGTGTTCCGCCTCCTGGTGGTGTTCTCTGGTATGGTTTGAGTAGCCTGGGCACCTAATCCACTTGGGAAGGAGACACCAAAGACCATATTTCGCGCAGAGAAAGTTGAAAGATGATGGAGGCATGTCTGGATAACCTAGGGTTTTTGAGACGTTCCCCTGGGTGGGTATTCACGGATGAGGGTTGACTTGGGGTGAAGAAAAAGCCGCCATGACTTCGCAGTGGTACCTGCAAATGAAATCCGAGGCATGAGTGCTCTTCCTTTACGTTGAATCATCTATTCTGGACTTTTCTTTGATATTTTGTCATAGCTAGATAGCTGCACACGCAATTAAAATCTGATGCAAAAAAAAAAAAAGATAGGTGCGAAATTTCGCCGGCACATCAACTAGAGCATTTTAAAAGGCCAGAGGTATAGGTGCCTAGGACTCGAGCTCTCAGACCTAAATTAAGCCTTCATGGTTAGGGATAGGGCAGCGACGGTGTAAGATCAGAGTGATGGAAAGTCGACAACATTTCTGAGATTATGATAATAACTGAAAGATTAAGGAGAAGCTACAAGGGAGTAAACAAGGGAATACTGAGGCCTAGGTGAGTGATTGGATGAGATGAGGCGATATTGGGACGAGGCATGGCCTGAACTGATTGGAAAGTAGGAATTAGAGATTGAGAGGTGCCAAGGGCTTGGGCGCGTGGCGGCCGAGGCAGAGGAGGAAATTGTGCTTCGGCGTGTCAGAGTCGGGTTCTCTGAAAGGCTGGACTTGCCATAATCCGACAGATAGTTGCGTTTCGGCATAGTTTCAGTCATGTAGGTGGGTCGAGGCACTTGTATTTTAGGGTAGTTAACCTGATCTGGCCCGGCCCCACCCGTGCTCAAGCTCCCATGGGGGTGCGGAATGTGCCAATTGTCTAGCACGATAATAAGCCAAACAAACCCAGATAATGTACCACCGCACCATCCAACCGCAGCGGTGTTAATACTGTTGCCTGGACTATCACTATCGAAGTATTGGCGCACACAAAGCTCTTCAATTTGTAAAGTTTATTGCCAAGATCCAGTATAACACCCTTTACATGATTGTATCTAACGCAGGTATTCCACCGACAGCAATCCTTTTGGATCAGAGGCAACTTCGGTCAGCAGCGCGCATCCAACGACTGGACGTATGGCACCCTCTATCACTGAGGGCTAGGGAGCTACCAATCGATGTTATAAAGCGTCTCGAGCTCCGAACAGGCCAGAAAGCCCGACCTATCACTGTTCCAGAGCGCTACATGACACGACTCCAGAACAGTGCTCTAAATGTACCAATCACTAAAGGTCCCGGAAAACTTCCTTACCCATCAACCTACCCTACCAAGCTCTCACCAGGTCTCGGTAGGGAGAATGAGTCGGAGTACGCGAAGATATGGATAGAAAATCTCCCATCAGAGACTGTATGTACCTATTCAGATGGCTCTTCAATCCACCCAGCGATATCTGCATGGGGATACGTCCTATATAAAGGAAGAAGGCTGGTTGGTAGCGGTGCTGGAATAGTTCTAGGAGCAGAAGTGTACGACGCAGAACTTGTGGGCGCTCAAAAAGCCCTTGAATCAGCTGTGGCTCTAGCAGGAGGTTGCCCTATTAAGATGCTCCTCGATAACTCTGAAGCTGTCCGCTCCCTCAAAACAGGACGAAGTAAGTCGTCCCAAGCTACAGTCGACAAATTTACAACTCTCCTACAATCAAACGAGTTAGTAGAGATCCGATGGATCCCTGGCCATTCTGGTATTATGGGGATCATCCATGCGGATAAAATGGCTAAATCAGCTTTGAAGGATTTTCCATTGGTCTCAAGTGCAACATTCACTTCAAGAACAAACCATGGACAAGTATACACTTTCGCAGCTCTAAATCGATATCTTAGAGACCGTTCTGAGGAGACCGTCGATTCTTGGTGGAGAGAGAACAGACCCAGTCTATACAAAGACCTAGATTTGTTGATGAAGCGAAAATGACCACCAGACCTCGCTCTTCCAAGATGGGCGTATCATCGTCTGATAGCGGCTAGGACTGGTCATGGCAATTTTGCCAAGTATCACAAGAGGTTTCATCACGAAGGAATAGACCTTATGTGCAAATGTGGCCGAGAAAGACGCCCATGGCATTTCCCTAAATGCCGGACAGCGCTAAATGAATGCCGGAAAACAAAAAAGGAAATAGCACCAAGTATATGGACAATGTTGGGAGAAAAGGGATGGATAGCTTTTTATAGATTCCTTGCCGTAACAGGATGCTACGGGGTGCAAAGTAGGACTTGAATGACCGAGGTTTTCTGGGATACATATAGTACAGGAAACTGCTATGAGATAGCTGGCTTGGCGCAGGGCGTTAAGTCAGGACAGCAAAAGTTTTTGATGAAATTTTTGTCTTTATTAGATCATGTAAATTTCTGGCCACATAAAGCCAGCATCAGTGGTGTTTGTGGGTCCCCCCGGGAACACGCACCCATGTCAAGCCTCCTGGGTGTAGGGCTTTAGCCTGATACGTTAAATTATTCAATTCAATTCAATTGTATCTAACGTTTACATTAACTTGTCCGCTTGTACATATCTCTCTCACGCTCATCCCAAAACCTAACTCTCAGATTTATGCACCAAAATTTGTCTCTCTGGCCGGTATTCCCATTCTTATGCGTGTGAAGGTGGAGACTGTCCAAGGCCAGAGACTGGTTAGACAAGGGGTTTGGTCAATGAAATAAGGATATTCTAGGTCGCACTTGCTGAGTTGATGACGATTTTCCCGGAAACTTTTAGAATAAGATTCTTGTATACGAGTGGTACGTAAGTACTGGAAGTAGAATTGATAAAGTATTGAGTTAATCTATCGTGTATGATTCTCGCGATCGCAGCATCCTTCAATGCTGGGATCATACTCCTGTCAATATGTGTATGCCAGCCTCGTCTATACGCTAATACGGAACTACTAATACAGGGTATCTAAGATCTCCAAACGCCTTACCCTCTATACTCCTAAGTTATTGAAAGGCTATGCTGAGCTGGAATGACGTACCGTTGGGATGAAGGTATAGAAGGAGGTAGCTGTGGCTTTAAGAGAAGTAAAGTTCGTGAGTTACACTCTTAGGACTTGGATCAATGGACGAACTTGAGGATATTCCCTAGTATTCTCAAGTGTGTAAATAATATGGAGATTGTTTGAATTTCCTATCGTATGAATTGCTTAAGTTATCTACGTGACAGGACCTTCTCCTAAATACATGAATAAGGGGGTTCTGCACACTAGTGGATGTTCCAACATCTGTCCTTGTCTAACCGAGAAAGGAAGGATGTAAGAGATCCTAGCGCCAATAGATACCATTAGGAGTCTATTGGGAAATGCTATGTCATACCAATGAGTGATGATCTAGGTCAATCATATCCCATGGCGCATGTGCACATTATTCTAATGTGAACAGTTTATTGTAATGCAGTCATGTTACTCCCTTAATTATAAAATAAGTAAGTAATAAATACAACCATAACTCCATTATTTTCAGGTACAGGAATGATTATGTCTGACCAAAAATCTTATAATTCAACAGAAACGATCTGTCCTACATAGTTGT